ACAAAACAATTACAATTATAAGACTATATATAAAATAATTTAATAAATGCAGTGAATGGATATAAAATATTTGAATTGTGCACATGTTTATTTCAAACAGTATTAGATTTTCTCATAACTTGAATCTCGTTTCAAGTCAAATGAGGTTTGTTTGGTTATCGTTCAGTTTATGTTTTGTATTGATTTATTGGTCTGAATTAAATGGGAACAGTGCAGTCAGTCACTCAAGTCACTGCTAGTCAGTGTGTATAGAGAGTAGAGTCTGGTAGATTTATAGGACATAAAACTAGTAGATCTATTGATAGTGCTGTGCACTGTGCTATCAGCTACCTATCTGTTATGTGACTCTTAAATGTTTAGAAGATCTGCATTCCTGAAGTGTTTTTGTATATTGAAGACAGTTAAATGGTCAATATTTAGCTCATTACCTTGCTCCATACAAACTTTACAAAGCTAATGAATAGACTTATCAATAATTGTTTACCCAAAAATCACAAAGTGGTAAACTCCATCTTGGCCTGTTGGCCATTATTGAAGGCAATAAGTGCCCTTTTTAGCCATCCATTATGATCCATATACTGCTATTGTTAGTAGGCTAATTGCAACATAAAAAATAACACTTCAAAAAGACAAAAAAATTGAAAAAATAAAAAAAATCAAGTAAATAAAAAAAATCATGAAAAAATAAAAAAATTGTTGATTTTTTATTTATTTGATTTTTTTGAAAAAATCAAAAAAATCGCCAACCCTGCTCTTCTGTAACCTTGTACCATTTGTTCAATGGGGGTAGTTTTTGCACAAAGGTCAAATTTAAACCCACTATGATAACAAAGATCAATCATTCATAATGATATTCATTGAAAAATTGAAACAGTTTATTTGCCCTAATAGCTTGTATACAGACGAAATTATCAAAAAATTATTAGCAGTACTTCTCAATTTTTGTTGATTTGTTTCAAAAGGATGCATTACATATGTAACATGCTGATTATAGCAAGTAATAAATTTATAAGCCTTAAACACAGAGGCTTGAAGTCAATGTTCTATTCAAAATTATTCCTTCCCTATTGGTTCTAGCTCTTCTTGTAAAAAATAAATAACTTTCATCAACATGAAATGTGTACCATCAAATGAGGGTAATAAGGGACATGCAAGGTAAATTGGGACTGTCCTCCATCATTTTGTAAAAATGTTGTAGTGTGGCTAAAAATAGTGGCATAAACTTTAAAATTTTTCCTATCTATGTAGTTTAGAGCAAGTTGAGAAATCATACATTTACTACCTCTGAAAAAAAAACAAAAAAAAAAAAAGTGTGAAACGTGAGATTTTGGAAAAGTACTTCTGCCAAGGTCTGTAGAAAAAAATATTTGTCTTATTGAAATATTTTACTTGCAAAAAAGTTGCAGACAGGTGTTGGCTTGAAAATGTGATTGACAGAATTTGCATATCTCACTCTAAAAAATTTTTGGCCAATTGGCAATACAGGGTGATAAGGTACACCACTAAAATGCATTTACAGTAGAACCTTGGCTAGCAAAGCCTCTAGTTAACAAAAAAATTTATTAACAAAGAATTTTGATTACATGTACCTCACTCAGCAAAAAAATTCACTTACCAAAAAATTAATGCATCATTGGTAATTACAAAATTGTGCATAGAATGTCACGGATAGAATCTGCACTGGGCATTATAAAATTAAAAGTAATTGACTGAAACTATGATTTATTTATCAAAAAATATGATGGCTGTCACTAAAATATTCCTTTTTGTTTAAGGTATGTTTTTATGATCTTTTTTAGCACATTTTCTTATTCATGGAAAAATGAACTATTGTGATTGCCATGTCTGTCTGTCCTTCTGTCTGTCTGTGACTTCACGTTTTTGTCAACAAGAAAATGCACGCTCTGTCACTCACTGCAGTGAGTAGTTATATTTTTTCATTATAGTTGTTACCGGTGTCTCAATGCAGGTGGGACCAACTCGTTGCCTACTTAATCTGACTGATTGCCTACTTAATCTGACTGATTGATAATAAAGAATGAACTTAAGTGATGACTAAATTTTTAAAAGGAAAATGAAATGCAAATACTAGTTCTAATAACTATTGGGATCTCACACAGTAAGAGTGACAGGAAAATGACAGAATGAAGAAAAGAAAATGTGTAAAAATGATTAACTGAAGCTGAATTAAAGATACACCAAGAAAATGCACACAGACCAATGAGTAAGATGCACACCAATAAATTCTTCTGATATCATGTTAGTTAGGAGGTTATGGGGAGCTTTCAATCAAATCACTCAGGAGGTTGGGGAGTGTGGAAAAGCAATTAATTCAGCACAACACTTTAGAATAGGTTTCAACACAAATTTAGATAATCAATTACTGATCTAGCCATGACCTGAAAAGAATGAGAATGATTTTAGTTGAATGAATAAAATACTTAAACACTTCAATAGAAAAACACACAGTAATACACATAAGAGGGACACAATTAAGAGGTACAAGAGGGTGTGCTGCAAAGTAGCCTAAACCACCCCTGCCAACATAGTGAATTCATTTGACCCAATTAAAATATTGCAAAATTACAATCCTAGTCCTGTAAGCTTACAGAAACAGAAGAAATGCCATATGGCTGCTGATATCGAGCTTGCAGTGGACAAGGTCATTGTCAATGCTCAATGGCATGTCCATGGATATGGTAATATCACATCAATAATATGGTAATATAATTATATGGTAATATATCAATAAAAAAACCAAGTATAAATCACAGACAATGTCATTTATTCTACATCTACAAAAGGAAGAGGACTTTTGAGTACTGTTAGTAATGGATGAGTACACTCTGGCACCTTACAAATAGCATATGGATTTTTTCATAATTACCATACAATGGCCCTCACAAAGACCTTTAAAATGAGCCCAAACTTGTTAATGGAATGTTTCATGGCATTTATGTTATCAACAAAAAATGCTCAAAATTGTCCATTATAACCCTGTTGATGGTAGGCCAATTTCACCTGTTCTTGTAGCCTTTTCCCAATTAATATGTGAAAAAGTTAAAAAGTATCCATTTCCACTGCAATTTTTAAAAATCACTTATGAATTTAGGAAAAATTTTCCTGATATTCCAGATTGGCACCCGTGGAATATCCTGTCACAAATTACACTAACAGTAAATAAATAAATTTGGGACAGATGCAAGTCTAGTGCTCCTGATATAAATCTGCAGATTCACTGTGATTAATTGTGTAAGATTCATACTGAATATATTGTACTTTAGCACATTGCTTAGTACATACTGTATTAATGAACTGTAAGAATGTTTCCTCATACCATGAAACGGGGTATTAAGAGATGGTCGGGGTAAATCAGGACAGTCCTCCAACATATAATAGAACTGTTGTAGCAACTAAACTAGTTGAAATATTGCAAAACTAAAAATAGTGGCCTGAAGTTCAACATTTTTCCTATCTATGTAGCATAAAGCAAGTTGAGAAATCATACATTTACTACCAATAAAAAATCCATAAAAAAAGTGAAAAGTGAGATTTTGGAAGAGTACCTCTGCTAAGATCTGTAGTAAACAAAATATTCACTGTATTAAAAAATTTTACTTCCATAAAAGTTGCACATAGGTAGAACCTTGGTTAGCAAAGGCTCCAGTTAACAGAAAAAAAAATCAATTAACAAAGAATTTTGATTACATTTACCTCTCAATAAAAAAATTCACTTGACAAAGAAATTAATGCATCATCAGTCATCACAAAATTGTGCCTATAATGTCGTAGATAGATTGTGCACCGGGAAACATAGATTGAAAAGTAATTAACCTAAACTATAATTTATTTTTACAAAAAATATGATAGTTTTCATTAAAGTATTTCTTTCTGTTTCAGGTTTGTTTTTACAATCTTTTTTTTTTGTTATAGTGAATTCACTTGACCCAATTAATATGGTGCAAAATTACAAGCCATTCTGTAAGCTTACAACACAGAAGAAATGCTGTATGGCTGCTGCTGTGAAGCTTGCAGTGGACATGGTCATTGTAAATGCTCAATGGCATGTCCATGGATACAATAATATCACATCAATAATATGGTAATGTATGAATATGGTAATATCATATCAATAAAGGAAAGACGAGTAAACATTACAGAAAATGTCATTTATTCTACATCTATATAATCTACAAAGGAAGAGAAGGACTTCAGAGTACTGTTGGTAAGGGATGAGTACAGTGTGCATGCTAGGAATGTTTTAAAATTATGTTTTATTTCAAGTGTCCCTAATTAACCTGTTCCTGGAGGTAATTAGGGACGCTTTTATTTTGCGTCTGGCACCTTAAAATAGCATATGGAATTTTCTGAGTTGGCATATGATAGCTCTTGCAAAGGCCTTTTAAATGAGCCCAAACTAGTTTATGTAAGGTTTCATGGTAAGTTATATATAAAAACAGGGTTGGCGATTTTTTTGATTTTTTTAAAAAAATCAAAAAAATCAAAAATCAATGATTTATTTGATTTTTTCATGATTTTTTTGATTTATTTGATTTTTTTGATTTTTTCAACTTTTTTGTCTATTTGAACTGTTATTTTTCTATGTTGCAGTTAGCCTACTAACAATAACAGTATATAGATCATAATGGATGGCTAAAAAGGGCACTTATTGCCTTCAATAATGGCCAACAGGCCAAGGTGGTGAACTGCCACTCAATATATTTAAATATATGAAAAAATCAAATAAATCAAAAAAATCGAAAAAATCAAAAAAATCATGATTTTTTTATAAAAAAATCAAGTGATTTAATCACATGATTTAATCATTTTGATTTAATCATTGCCAACCCTGTATAAAAATGCCCAAAACCATCCCTTATTACCCTGTTTGATGAAATGTTTGCTTTTATCTGCTCATCTGAAAAATTTTGCTCAAAATTTTCCTCAATTCTGTCAAGTTTTGTTGGCAAATTCTCTATTGTGTGCTAATTTTTTTTTACAGAGGAAGATTGTATATGAGTAAAAAACGTACTCTTATTATCATTTCATAATGCTATAGTTACAGAATAGTTACAGAAGTATTTCTTGAATGGCAAATTTTGTCTGAAATGGAAAACTTTTCTAAGAAGTTGGAAATTCATAAATCAGTATCTACTTTCCCTTCTCCTTCTGATCAACATCATCACCAGAAGTCTATCAAAAACCAATTAATGCAATCTCCTTCTAGAAGAAAAAGACTTAAATCAGTTGACAGTAATGCCAACAATGAAAGTGAGATCGAGAAACAAATGGAAAAAGTCCAAACTGTTGTACCTTATGGCTCACACATTAGCAGCAGTAAACAGAAATCCATGCTCCCTGTGAAGAAAAGTTTGTTACTGAGTGCTACTACATCTGGAAATGAGGTCAGGAGCAGTGAAACACAAAGGTCTTCTTCAAACTCACCTCCAAAACACAAAATTGGAGGCAATTTAACTTCAACTATTCAGTCAATGAAGAGAAACTCTGTTTGTACTGATGTCAATCACTTAGCAGCTTCTCACAAAACTGCTCCTAGTAAAAAAACATTAACCAATTCAATATTACTCACTGATGCTCAAGATGTTCCTTCAAAAAGACATGCAGTTCTGCACAAGTCTTCACATCATGAGAGAACATCCAAACTTTTCAACATAAGTGGAACTCTAGTGGCTCTAAGCCACACATTCAAGTAAGTTTTCAAGTCTAGCAAAGATTTTATTATAATTTTAATGATTAATTCTTGTTGCCTTTCATTCAAGTGCCTATTTTGTTTTAATGCTTGGCAGGGACCTCATGTTACATACAGGCAAGATCCACTTTTTTAATTACAAACAGTCTCACTGTAAGAGAATGTGAATTAATACACTTGATAATTTATTTGCTTCAGTTGATGCTCAATATTGAAAAGAATTATGGAACTGCCGATGAAGTGACCTGACACTGATACAAGCTCTAATGCAAATTAAAAATTAATCTATAGTCCATTCAAGTAGGTAACAACATGAATAGAATTTACCTCAGTAGCATGATATGAGGAGTAATACATGTAATGGTAAGCTGTTGGAGATGGAATAGAGAACAAATAAATCAAAGGAATGTAATTTTAAGGTTAGAATGTTGAAGAACAGTAAAAGCTCTTGGTCAAATGAAATAAAACACATTTAAACTAGCAGGCATTAGTTTGCATAACACCTCCATTTAACTGAAAACCTTAAGAAGTGACATTTACTGACCAATTTCGGAAAAGTTTTGATGAAGGTAAAAAAAGATTAGTACAGAATAGCTTAAGCAACATATTTTAAATCATCAATTGAATCAGTAAACAACATAATTTGGATATGCCATTGAATCAATAGGATGGTAGCAAAGTAACTGCTATGATTCAAGTGTGAAATAATATACGTTTAAAAATTACTTTTTAAAGACAACACTTCCAAAGAATCCAGTGTCTCTAGTCTTACAGATGTACAATGAATTTCTCATTTAATTTTCGAATATTAAAAAATTAATTTTTCAATTTTTTCAATATATAAAATTTTTTTAATATATAAAAATTTTAATATATAAAAAATTTTTTAAAATTATTTATTCTGTTAATTGATTCATGCATTGCCTCTGACTTCACACAAGTGTGCAAAATTTCAGATTGATAAGATAAGTAGAAGTGTATTAAATTTTGATTACAAGATTTGTAGCAGACAAACAACAAGAAGTGAAGTTAAAGAGAAGTGTTGTAAAAATAAGATCAAGACTGAGATGTATTAATGCATATTATGACAGGATATTGACTGGGTAAAAAAGTATATTTCATTTTTAGCAGAGTCATGAAGCGATGAAGAGCATAGGAGAGACTTTGATTAAAAATTGAAAAGTGATTTTTATTTTGTTAGACTGTAGACTTTGTTCAAAAAGAGTAAGTTGAAGTTTCTGTTGAATTTAACAGGAATTTAATGAGACTTCTCTGCAAAGTGTGGGCTTGAAAGGTTTTTCATTAATCATTGTACGTTAACCTAGAAATGGACAATTTGGAATAACGTGATTATAAAATTGCAGGGATAATTGATCCTGAGCAGTGTGAGGCCAACCTGCTTATTTATTTATTTTATGCAAGTTTGATTAAAGACCAGAGCATGCTTTTTATTAATAATCTTCGTATTTGTTTTTTCAACAAGTCAAATGAAATTTCTTGCTGGCACTGGGAGATCAAAAAGCAGATTACCAAATGACATTTTAATGGAAAGCAACATTTTGAAAATACAATTTTCATTATCAAGCAGATGAAGATTTTGCAACACCAAAATTTTTGCAAAACCTTCACCTGCAATCCATTTTTATTTTTTACCCTCAGTCAACACTAGAAGTGTTGCAAAGCCTTAACCTCTTGATAATGAAAATTGTATTTTTGAAATGTCTCATTCCATTAAAATGGAATTGGTAATTGCATTTTGATCTCCCGGCACCAGCAAAAAATTTTGTTTGACTCATTGAAAAAAAAAGAATAAGAAGGTTATTAATAGAAAGCATGCTCTTGTCTTTGATCAAACTTGCATATAAGAAAAGCTTTTGATAAATTACATCAATTTATTTATTTGTACACAGTTTACTAATAAAAATTGACTTGTAGGTCTAGTCACAAAGTGACCTTATTAAACTGTTCTCACCATGTTTTTTAATTTCTCTCCTAATATTCCCTAACAGTAATAAAAGGCTTTGACTTGTGCTAATGCATTATTGAGATCAGGAGAGATGATTATTTTTACAGATTAATTTAATAGCATCAAAGTTAATACCAGCTCATATTTGGTGGCCTGATGATTTTTCATTCATATTGTAGCAATAGCAATAGATTAAATTGCTAATTATTTTCAAATAATATAGGTAATGATCTTCAGATGCTCTATATAGCTTTACACCAATTATGTTCTGATATTGTACATACAGGATTATTCTAAGTGTTGCACCTAATTTAATGAATTTGTATGTATTAAGTATAAATTCAAAATGAATAATTAATACGCCAATAGAAAAAAAGATACAATTTTTTAAACCTATTCAATTGCTGAATAGGTGCAACAGCAACAGCAGAAATGGCCACTAGAGTTCTTGCACCAGCCTGCTAGGTGGTTCAATACCAGTTTTGAGACAAAATGCCTGCTGCACTGTAACTTACAACTAATTTCTAGCAAACTCAAGAAAGCAGAAAACCTTGTGCTTCACAGTAGACATCGCGCTCACCAGTGACTGTGAAACACAAAGGCGGCTGGCTGGCGTGAGAACTGTAGTGACCATTTTTGCACAAGAATTCTAAAGGCCGTTTCTGCTGTCACTGCCAAAATCTGTACTTGGATAGGTTAAGAAAATTGGAATCTTTCTCTTTCAATGTTTATACAAGTATTTATATTATTTATGCTTGAATAAATACAAATTTATTAAATTGGGTCCATCATTTAGAATAACCACGTATATATAGTGTTCATTGATGAATTTATTTACTCTAATGTTTTCATATGAGGCTAATGAAGAATAATAAATATTACAATCATTTATGTTACAGTTGGCAACAATAATTTTTCCCCCTCAATTGCGAAGCAAAAATTTTGACATGGCAGAATCCTCATCACTGATATTACATGCATTGCCTTTCAAACAGGATGTCAACATGCAAAGTATACTTTGCAAAGTTTTTTCTGGATGAAGGCAGCCCTCATCCATGTTCTCGGCATCACAAGATTGCTCCGAAAGAAGGTTCTGCCAAAGCTGATATGCAATCCATTCTACTCCTGGTGCTGGTTGATGCTAGATGTCAGAGTTGGAGAGCCTTGCTCAAGTGTGGTTTTCGCTATGCAGTTCATCACACAGAGCATGTTATACTTCTCAAGGTACTGGAGCCTATGTGTTCATGTTTTTGTGCAATTTAGACTGATATCCTAATTTAGACTTGGTTTTAAGACTGATGCAAAATTGATGTGGGTCAACTACTAGTACCTATTGCTAAACTGTCCCAATAATGCTGAATAGCACTGAGTAGCACCTTGGGAAATAAGCAATGCAATAGTGGTACCGTATTGGAAATTAATTCTATGAAAGGTATCAAACTTTTATTGATGATTAATAGAGCTGGTATTAATTTATTTAAACATTTTTGAGGATATTTCTAGAAATTCAATGAAAAATAGTTTTAATTTCTGAAAATTTTCAGAATTCTGCTCGTGTTGAGGCCTTGAAAGTCTCCAAATCCACTACCCTCACCCAACTCTCTGCTGGTCCAGCTGCCTTGCCTGCAACAATAATGGGCTCTGGCGGCTGCCAAACTGAACTGAACAGCAAAGTTTCTGACCATAGCATTGAACCTTCTCATGAATCATTGAATATGTTCCTGAGCAAAGAAGGATGGTTTGTGTTCAAGGCAAGTTGGATGTAAAATATGTACTACTCATGCTGGCAGTACCAGTATGTTCTTCAATTGATTGTTTCTTGTATCTTTGTTTGTAATGCACCTCTCTCAGAATACTAATTCAAATTATATTGTAATCTATGTCATTTTTATTAACTTTCAGTGAATATTTGCTGCCCTCTAGGTAGTTTTAGCTCCCTTAGCCTGTATCAGCATCAAGTCAAAATGTTAGTACTGTCGGCAGGTAATTTAGGTTTTATTTCTTCTTCCTTTATTAAATTCAGTCTTCAACACCACCCAATTATTGATATTGGATTAAGTTACTGATCTGAGTACTGATATTGTTTTAATTTAATTTACTGAGTTACATAAGTTGTTTTTTATTGCAGGGCATCATTACCAAAACGATCAATAGCAACTTGGGCCTTTACGAGCTTGACGGAGGATGTGCATTCCTGTCTCTCACTTATCTTTTTGGATTTGTTGACGAAATTGAACCTCAAGTGAGCTGGGTACACTTATGCCATGCCTTCTGCTTTGTATTTTAAGCTACAAATTTTTTCAATTGTAAGGGTCTGTAATTTTTATTTCATGAAGATTTCAAATCTAGTCAAAAATGCAATGTTTCAGTTGGTTTTATCCCTCACTTATTGTGTAGGTTTTCTTTAATGAAACTGAAATTTAGCAAATGTATTTTTTCTATTAGGTACTTAATTCATGCATTTATTTTTTCAATTGTATGATCGAGCAAGTAATTATGAATAATCTAAGACCGTTGATAGTTTCTTGCTGTGCTGCAAATGCTCAACTGACATGACATATTGGTGCATAATTGTGAAACAAACCTATTTGTTTTTTATTCAAATTCCAGATGTTGTTCAAAGTTGTATTTTTGAACGTAGTGTATATTTATGATATTATTTTTGTCTTATGATGACTTTTGTAATCATAAGACAACTGCTCTTTAAATTTTTTTCCAGGAAGCGCCTCTAAGTTTATTTTCTATATGCCATACCGGTATTGTGCAAATACCTAGTGATACACTTTCTGCAAGTAGCCCTGATACCATATGTGCCTTTTTGTCTGTCCATACTGGGTTAGAACAACCCACACAAAGGCAAAAAGTGCATTAATATTTGGACGACTTTAACTAATTATTCTGAGTGTACTTAATTTATACATTATTGGTGTGCAGTGTGACGCATGTGACGGGCAGGGCAGCCTGCGCCCTGGCATGAGGGTTGTGGTGCAGCGACCGCACGTAGCCAAGCTCCCTTCCGGCGCCATACTCATTACATGCTGCGGCCGCTCTCTCTTCACTATTGTCCAGTAATGATATAATTGCCTTGTCATCAATTGCATCATTTATTCCAGCACCATACTCATTACATGCTGCAGCCGCTCTCTCTTCACTATTGTCGAGTATTGATATAATTGCCTTGTCCCCAATTTCATCATTTATCCAAAAACTTTAATCTGGCACCAAATCAACAGATTCAAATTATTTTTGAGTAATTTTGTATCGCATTTTATTGAGACATGATTTTGAAGTATATATTTTCTTGTATCTAATTGAAGCACTAAGCTTGAGGATAGAAATAATGTATGGGTTACTCAACCGTGACTGATACTCAGACATTAATAATTTTCAGTGATTTCAATGAGTCACTCAATCGTAATGAGCATGTCTTAAAATAAAATACTTAAAAAAACTTTTTAAAAAACCACGTTTTTCTTGTGGACTAAAAAGTAGAAAATAAAATACTTAAAAAAAACTTTAAAAAAAAAAACACATTTTTCTTGTGGACTAAAAAGTAGAAAATAAATTATGGTTCGCCCCAAAAAAACGTGTGTCGGGCAGATTTTTAAATTTTGGAAATTTGATGGTGAACGTATAGCCCGACCCACGTTTTTTTGGGGCGAACAAAATAGCCTGCATGCCGAATTTCAGATCTCTAGAACAATCAGAAATGGACTAATTTTCGTTGTCAATGTTAACAACAAACAAACAAACAAACAAATAAACAAACAAACAAACAAACGCGAAGCTAAGCTAAGAAAAACGTGTTAATTACTGTAGTGAAGTGCCATGCCATGAAAATTTTAAGTAAAAGGTTTGGCTGATATATGATTCATTTAGAGAAGTATTTTCAGTGATTTTTTTTAACTAGTTCTTCCCGTCATGATCACAAACCCTTTGGCAATTTGGCTTTGACAAACCCTTTGGCAACTGTATGCTTTGTTGCAGGTTAAAGTCAGCAGCTAAAGATTCCATAGCCACTTCAGAAGGGGTGTCTGGCGCGGCTGGAGAAGCAATGTCATCTTCATTGTCAGATGCAGCGCCAATTTCAACGTCTAAAAATACTACTAGTGCAGCAGAAGATCAATGTTCAAAATCCAAATCAAGGAAAATCGAAGTTCCATCGGCTGTATTGGACGCTGTGATTCATCACTCCCTCTACGGCTTCTATTGGCTGCTGTGGCTGTCAGACCTGGAGCATGAAATGTGTCGCGTGCTTTGTAAGCTTGGCATCCCTCAACACGTCGTCCGCAGGTGCGGCATTCACTTTACCTTGATCAATTTTTGATTTAAATGTATGAGATAGTCTCCCAATGAGGAAATATGAATATATCAAAAACTAAGATAGGATCTTTACCCCAGTTTTACCTTCATGGAAGATGGCTTGTGAAGACACCACGGAGACACTTTAAGTACCGGTATTTATGATGTGTGCTAATTTGCACGATTTCATAGTTATGACATTATTAATGCAAGTGCCAAAAGCTTCGGGCAGTTAACAAGTTTCATTTTGTAGCTCAGATTTGTTTCTGTATGTTTATGCGACATCTTGTACGAGTGTCTTCATTTCTGTTGCTGTTAATTTGTCCCTTCTTATTCTTCCGTCTCTGCAATAAGCTTGCACTAATTGCTACAATAATTCTTTTTTCGACAGCTATAGTGGCCTAGTCACTTGAGACTTTCCTATCTTTGCTAGCGATGAACGATTAGTGAAAGTTTCAATAAGTAAGACCTTCCTTCTCTCTGGTCGTGCTTATTTTCTACTTTCGGTGCCTAATTGAAGGCAGGCAGCGCCAGGAGCCCAGAGTTATAAGTGCTATTCTCGTGCAGACGCGTCGTGGTGGCGGGCCGAGCAAGGAGCCCATTGAGCAGGCTGCTGCAGTCCTGGCATGACCGCGTCTCACCGGCGCGCGTCGAGCGCAACTTCGCAGAGGAGTTCTGCGTGCCCAGACACAGCGAGTGCGTCGCCGTCCGGGGCCTCGCACAGGTTTGTGGGAAAACAATATCATGTGATTGCTTAATAAGCTCTATCGTAAATTGATACGCCAAATCTCGATGTGTAAGTGGTGATTCTATTATAATATGCCGAATAAATTGTTACCTTGTGATGGAAATAACATTCGTAATCAATAATTGTCATTTTTTAATGTTATAGACAATCAAATAAAAAGGCAAATAATTATTTCGAGCGATCACATCAACAGTTACAGTCAATGACTTTCATGCAAATTTAATGTTTAGCAAAAAGAAGGAATATTTTAATGTCAATGAAGTAGGAAACGATGGCTTAAAACGTTTTGAAAGTGATCCGTTCATTCAAAAAGTAAGTTGTTGAATTTTTCACTGCAATTATATGGGTTTGAAATTGTTCTTTATTATAAGAGCAATATACTATATAAGGGCAAATAGGTACTAGTCTCTGGAAAGGTGAGCACCAAATATACTGCAGTTTCAGTTTCTAACTGAATCGCCTATCACCCGTTTGAGGAAGTATATTTCTTCATAATTTTAGCGGCATCACAGGGAGGAGTCTGTGACCACGGAGCCAAATTGAAAACTATTAGTAAAACACTACGCATGATACCCAGTCCTTACCCTGAGAGAAAGTCTTTCAAAATGAGATTGTTTAGGTAAAGTTATGAGGATTCCCCTGTACACGCATACGTGACGAGTGGGCCAAACTCGAGAGCTAAGGCGCACTAGGATATGCGTGTGCCGTGGCCAACGAAGGCTTGACACTAAATGAGACCTAACAACCACCGCCTTATTTCTGAAATGTTGTGAAGATGTTCCCGGGCCTCTGCCCTAAAAAATATCCGTAGCTAGGTGAACTGATCACACGAGTTATATGCACTAGATTTCTTACATTAGAAACATGTTAGAAAACATAATCACTCAAATTAGGAACTATCGAAATGATGTACAGTATCGAGAACGACGAGCGCGCGATCCTTCTTACGCCTGTGTGCCAATTACGCATTTATCCTCTGAGGCTGCCGTGTCCCGATCGCATGCCTAATACGGTGTTCAATGGAATCGTCGTAGTAAAACTGCCACCATGTTTTTGCCAGGAACCTCATAGGAATTGATCATTATTTTGATACTTTCTGTTGCTTTGCTCGGCGGAGGTAAATCAAGCAAATCGTGCTTCTTCATAGATGTGAAAAGGGGCTCCACATGGTGCGAGGTCTTGTGGACTGGAGTGTATGTTTATTGAAAGATTGGTTGGTGTAATTTTCAGTGCTGTGGTAAATGACTTCTGCCCACACTATGTTCCCATGTGCTCAATAAATGACGATAAATTTAGTTTTGTTTTCAAACTAGGCAATCGTCGTTGAAACTCTTGTATGAATTTAATTTGTGTTTTATACACTCCAGAAATTCTCCGCTCCGTTCGAGATCATTGACGCATCATCACTGCAAGAGAAAGAAAAAGAAGCTCTTTTTTCATTTGGAGACTCCGCTGTGCGCAAACAGTGGGGCACCGAGAGCGATTCGGTGTACTGGGAACCAACTGTAATCCCGTTACGGAGTATCCATATAAATGATGACGATGATGATGAAAACGGCCTCCTCGAAGGTCAAAGCGATGGACCAAGGGAGCAAAGAAAATCTCCATCTTGGACGACAGACGCCGTTGTCCTCTGCCGCCTGCTAGTGTCGCCCATCGGCGACTTGATGGTTCATCTAGAAGAGAATAGTTCTGCATTTAGAGACCCCAAGAGCGGCCGCTCATGTTTAAGCTCTGTTAACGAAGGAAATTCTACCATGAATGCTGAAAACGGCACTGAAACTTTATTTTGTTGCCATCTAGAAATTGTAGGAAGGAAGCGTGAAATAAACGTTTCCATGCCAGGGAAAATTGTGGCTCTCTTCAACCCTGTGTATGTGATTGAAACATTCAACGTTCGCACCGATTCGCCACACGATGCATCGTCTAGTCAAAGAACCGTGTTTAAGCGTTACCTCATGGTTAGAGAAACCGACTTGGTCGAAGTATGCGATGCTCCAGAAACCTCAGGCACGAATGTATCCAAGTTTTGCTGCTGCTCTTCTGCTGCTTCAAGCTCAGCGGATGTGGCGTCTCTTCAATATCGTTCTAAGGACGCATCAAAATTACTGATGGAAAAAGGACGTACGAAAGAGTATCTCTTTCGCATTTCCAATAAGTACAATAGAGTGATATTAAATCGGCAAGCGATGAACAAATTTGCTTCAGACGATTTGATGGTCTGTTGTAGAGCGTTCATCGAACAGAAAAACGAATTCTGCAACGAGGAGGCATTTATTCAAAATCTTGATCCTGTCTCCAATCCCAAGGACAAGCAACAACCCGTGTACTTGTGCTTCAGGGGATCGCATCAGTTGATGCATATTGCCTCCATATCTGACGTTTGTGAAGTGAGCGTCAACGTTCCGGCTGCGGCTGGGATATTCACCAGGAGAGGATCACTTCGATGGCTGCCTTCTTTGACTCATAATTTTGGCGGTGAGGCATCATGTCTTGATTTTCCTGAAAATGGCGTCATTTCTAGCGTATCGCACTCCTACGTCAAGGATGAAATCTCCGTCTCTGACATTCTTAAAGGGGCCTTCCTCAGCAATTGTGCTCTGAATGTGGTCGGTGTCGTGAGAGATCGTTACCACATGACCCCGACATTTGCTTCAGAAATGATGAACATCTCTGAAGATTGTGACCATAATGATGTTGGAGTTCCTGGCTGCAAGACCATCAGGTTCCAACTCGAGGATAACAGCCGCCCTGATGTTGTGCGCCGCATTTGTGTATACCTTAAACTGAAGAATGCATTGGTCGTTGGCAAGTATCCTCTGGGATTGCTAGAGGGCGCAACCATCAAGATATCAGGCGTTAAACGTTGCCGGTCGTCTTCGAATTCGGTATATCTTCTAGCTGACCCAGTGTCAGTAATTCAGGTTCTCAGTCTCCCATCACTTCCACGTGCCTCCCCAAGAGTGAACAATGATGAAAAAGACCTAGATCGGGCAAAGTTGGTGCTTTTGCACAAAGTGTGTAATGATTTGTCGGGTCTCTATGCAGCACCTCCGACTGTGAATAACTCTGCGGCCTCCCAACCGAGTGCTGCTAAAACGTGTGACTCTGTATTTGAGCTACACTCTGTCCTAAGAAATAATCAAGAGTGTAAAAATGTCACTGGAATTAAAGACTCGTTAGTATCGAGACCATCGTACCGCATTGTCCGCGTTGTTGCTTCCGTTTCAAGACTGCTCAAGATTTCCCTCTCTCTGCAATGCCCAGGTTGTGGCACTGAGGTGTCGGCCGTTTCTGGCACTTGCCCCTACGTCGGATGTTACTCGCAAGACGCTCCAACCTTGAGCGCGTTTGCGAGGGTTGTTGTGGAAAACGGCTTTGCAGAGGCTTTCGTCATCATCAAGAAACTGGAGCTCATCCACAGATTGCTCGACATCCCGACATGGGCATGGAAGTCGTTGGTTAGCGTGATAACGCAACACAAGCTCACAGTTACTTATCTGCCAACAGCCACCGCTGACTTAGGATACATTGACCCGTTGTCCTTGTTGGATAACGGCCTTAACTGTGATAAGTCAAACAAACGCCTCTCGCTACTCCGCACATGCACGGAAATTATACACAATTATTGTTCGGCTGGCAATTTATACCGGCCTCTTACGTTCTACTTGAGACCATTTAAGCCGTGCGTAGATTATGGCGCCCAGGCAAAGCAGGGCGTACCGTTTTACTGCCTCGAGCTGACAAAAGTTAATCATTAAGCGCTAATTGCAAACATGGGTCGTGGTTAGCAGGTATTTAGAAACTTCACCATTTCGGTATTTTCAACGCATCTCATTCTCTGTACTTTTCCATCTTTTGATAACCTTGAACAAAAATGCCTCGCATCGATTTAGCCAAGACAAAAAAAATCGGATATTGCAACCAACTGCAACTCAATTACTAGTTAGCAACGACGTAGTGTCTGGAAATTATATTTTTCCATTTGTTTGTGTTCTCTTGTTTGGTTCTGGTAGTTTTGAAACGATGCAAATCAAGGTAGTGTTGCTGTACTCAATGGAAAAATTTTACCATTCATTCCGTGATTGATAAGAATCCTGAATTTACTTAACTTGAATCATTTGTTAAGTAATTCCTGTACCGGTATTGTTTTCCACTTATTGAGATACCAAGCATTTGTGTATCATCGCGTGTACTGCACAGTATAGTTTCAAACTTTCTCGAAATTGTAACCTATTTCCCCATAGAAATATTATGTACCTGATTTTTCACATCCTATTTTTCGATTATTGTCGTTTCCTTAGAAACGTCGATGTTTATTTCATATTTTATTCTGTACATTCTACCAGCAAATTTTCATTTTCCAGCGGAATGATTTTTTTGCCTTGGCTTTACCAATGTACTGTGCTCAATTTACATTTCATGAATTTATTTGGTGTTAATTATAATTTCAGCAGAATTAACTTTGCTTAAACGGAGTTCAGTTTCCTTTCCATACTCTCGCGTTAATGTATGCTTTCCATTGTTCCACATGGTACGTTTAAAAATGTATAATTGCCTCTCCGAGAACTAACATTTTTTCTTAGATGTGTCACCGTGTATACGAGCTCATAACTTTATAATTTTTCTACTAGGAATATTGACAAGTCACTCGTACCTGTTTAGCTTAATTACAGTAATGAACTCGTCGATGGGTTCAGTGAGCATATCAAATGTGTTTTCACTGCCAATATACGCTTGACGCATATAACAAAGATTAGCAACTAAATGAAGGGGTAGTGCTTTATTGTCATCAATTAGGTTATAGATTGCTTCACCTCATTTAAATCATGACAATCCTTTATGGGTCCACTTTCTCTAAGAAAAAACGCGTGTACATTTGTGTTATTTCAAATAGCAAGCTTCTTGTTGTAAATGTATAGCAAGTTTATGTACAATGTAGCTGCAATTCGGAAGATATTGCAGAAGGCTGATATTATATATATATATTATTAGATATTAACTAAAGGTTGGTTTTCGAACCTAATTCTTTCACTAAACTTTCATGTGATTTTTTTATATATTTGAAAACAATTTTCAATTCATCTGTCTTTGTCTGAATTGCCTTTGCGTGTCACAAGCAATCATAATGAATTTGTAAGGCGCTTTCTGCTCTAGTCAAGCCCAGAAATAAAATAAAATGTGTCGTATCAGACATTTTAACTATGTATAGACTGGGTTAAGTGATCACTTCTGTCTGATTCTGGCCTGGGGTCGTACTCTCAAAAAATAGTTAAGAGTTATCAACTCTGTCATCACTGGCAGCTCACCAATCGCAGACTTGTAATCGGCCGCTACGTGTACTTAAGCGCTGAAATTTATCCGGGATCATCTATTAACAACCAAATGCTGAAAATTCTGCTACAACTTTCGATGTGCTTAGGAAAATCATGGCGATTGACTGATCGTTGGAGAAAAGAGTTGCAGAAACGCTCAGTTTAATTAAGCCATTAGGCGAGCAATGTAGAGCCGAACAGCTGAATATAATTTGTTTTCCAAAAAAAATGAGGAAACGAGCTTCAATATATCCTAAAGTCTTGAAGCTTCAAACGAACTTCAAGATAGGTATCCTATAGTCTAGCATTTCTAAAGAATCGTATCGTGAACTGTTGACGAAGCTACTCACAGAAAGGGCGCCAATTAATATTGTAGATTTTTTTTATATACCGATTTCTATTATATTTCATTAGTTCCTGATACACCATACCTATTTGGATTTCTGAATATCTCCGAAAAGTTGTTAATAGATTGATCTATTGTAAACAATATATATCATTTGGAAATATAACAATACAGGTGATGTGGCAATATACCAATAAAATTTCAATTATTTTCATAACCGCAGTTGTCCTACAATTAGATGGAATGCTTCTTCTATGTGGCTAATAAGCCATGTTAGCCATAATTGTGCCCTACTGAAATTAATTTTGTTGGTCGCATAACAATAATATCGTTCAATGAATTTCCTGACATTCAAAGAATCATCTGACGCAGCTAATATTCCCTTAACCTGGCAGAAATTTTTTTATTGAAACTTAATCTTGAGGTGACACAAAACATATTTTGCTTGGATTCATCTTGATTTCGCATTGTGTAGGTACAATTTTTTTATATTTTCTTGGCAATCACACAATGTGTTATTCAGAGTAGCATATTTTAACTTTCAATGCTTTGATATTATTGATGAATTTATTAAAAGCGGATCAAAAGCGGAAAGAACCTCTCCAGTCCGCCCAAACCACTGCAGTGCAAATTTGTTTGTTGCTGCAACGTTTCGTTTAGTAATGACTGTCGACTGATGATATAAATTTGTGTCGAAAATCGAAATCAACCTTAAGTCTTTAACCAAAGTTTTTACACAGTGTGGTAAGTTATGGTAAAATAAAATTACAAGTGCCGAAGCGCGCGATTCAGCATTTCAGCTGCGATTTGACATTTTGACTGGGCGCTCCTAAATTTGTTGAAATTTTAAAATATGTTGCAGAATGCAGATGCTGAGAGCCTGAGGAAGAGGGCTGAACCTCTGAGGAAAGCTGCAGCCTGCTGAGTGCTCAGTGCAGGATTTCAGCAATAAGCAGAAAAAATTACAATTCTGCTAAAACCAAAGGCAGCATTATCCTAAACATACTGTACATACTGTAACATACATAGGCTAGTCTGCTAGATATGGAAAAAATTCTGAACTAGATTACCTAGCAAATTTATAATGAAATAGTTTCCAAAAAACCTCTTGTTGGTCTATTGGCCAGTGGCCACTATGAATTTATAAATTGCATGTAAAACTAGAAGTCCATGACCATGAGCCCCGATTGGAAATTTAAGGTAATGATCAGGACTCAGGAGTACTGCTTTTCAAAATTCTCACGGAATTACACCGAACCGCCATTGCACGGATTTTGTAAGAGATCTTGAACATTCTCACGGTCCACAGTGTGGAATTCTGTATAGTTAATATATTCTCATGTTAATATATGAAAACGTATCGAAAAATCAACCCTACCACCGCGTTACACCACCTCACCTTCCACTGCAGTGAAATCATATAAACTGAGCTCATTGGAAACTGCCTGCCGCTCTTCCGAAATCGCGCGTGGTTTGAAATCCAATCCCGTGTTGCCAACGCCGAATCAAGTTAACTAGTCGTTTATCTGTAGGCTAGCGGACACATTTTTGCAATGAATACATTCTAAAATAAAAATAAAACACATCCAGAATCTTAAAAATCTCACGATTGGACAATACCAACAAACTTTTCGATATCACACCAAA